GGATGTAATGGTACTCTGTAACTGATGTAATGGAACGAATCTTGGCCGCTTAAAAGGCGAAAAATGAGTATGCACTAAGCCCGGATCGGACAAACAAACGCGAATGAACAGCTTACTTGAATGAATGTGAAAGGTGCCAGGAATACCGGCGACGCCGTATTCGAACTCATTGATGCAACTTGTTCATTCATGCTCGTTCACGCTCGTTTGCTTAGTCTGAATCCGACTTTGTACGGCATTTTCAAGATTCTCCTGGATTTCTTGTCTCTCCGACGAAACGATAAAAACAATTAACGTGGAGTAAAAGCAATAAGAGATATTATACATTCACGACTCATACTCGCAATTTATATGAATATAAATAATAATAATTAAATAATAATAATAATTTTTAATTTTCTCATATCAAATTTTTCACGTAAAACGTCTTTGTGCGGCTGCAGCGACATAAAGAGATGCCCCGTCCGGATATTACAGAATAGTCAAGTATATCTGTGAGTATTCGCGTGCAGAAACAGGAATTATTCTCACACTTGGAGACGTAAACGCGGTTCTCGGTAAAATCTGGAGACATTTGAGGCCCAGTTTTACCAAACGTCGCTTAACTTTAATCTCAGTTTAATTCACGGTTGTCCCTTTCTCAAGTAACAGTTGGAAAGAGACAAAGAACGAATTAAGCTGACAATGAGTTTAAGTTATGCGCACGTTGGTGAAACCGGGCCTGAATATTCAAAAGCGACGTCCCTAAAAGTATCCATTAATCTCGCAAAGAACAATCGATCGCGTCCGATGTGCGAAAAGTACAACAATGACTCTGCGGTCGCTTTCAGGGCGATTCCGGTGGATTGTGCGATCGCACACACACTTGGATTTTGCAGCAAACGATCATATTTACGATGGTTACGTGACGCTACGAGGTTTTCGAACGCGATCGCGTGATGATCTCCGAGCGCGATTTATTCACGAGCCATTGACTCCGCCGACTACAAACCGTACTTTTATTATACCATGACTCACACTGATAAGTTAATCGTCTACGAAACGGCGCATTGAAAAATACTTGTATTACATCTTTGCCCCCTTCCGCCGCGAAATTTCGTAATGAGACGCCTAACCGGCGAGGGCGCGCAACGGTTTCGAAATTATATGTTGCGACGATATCGCGGCAATTAAAAACGTAATCGACGGCAAAGCCATTGGAGGATGTAACGAACGTCATTTTATCTTTTGCAGACGATCTGAAGCACGTGCACCAGGCTCTGCTGCAGAGTGCTAAGCGCGCGGGCTCCCTGGACAATATCACCGTGATCGTGGTGTTCCTGACGCCGCCGATCGAGATCGCCGCGCGCTCGAATCCGCTCCCGACGCATCAAGCACCGAATGGTCTATTACTGAACAACATGGATCCGAACAATCCGATCCCGTCGAATCACGACCAGTTCGACGTAAAGCCCGCCTGCATCAAGCCCGACTTCGACATGGACCTGCTTCTGAAAAACAATACCGTCTGCGAGGTGGCCAGGAACGGCAAGCACCGGGACGACGACGACGACGAGTACGATTACGGTCCGGAGACGGACGTGGACGCCGGCGAGGATGTGCACGACAACAATTACCCCCTCGCCGCGACGTCGTCGCTCGAGCCGACCCCCGAGGCCGACGAGTCGCCGTCGCCGGTGGCGGCCGACGACGACAAGAGGAACGACAACGATTATTCCAACCGCGACAATGCCAACGTCTGCCCGGTGGACTCGGTAGTTGGCGACGGCGACGTGGACAATCGTGTCCGTTCGAGTGACAGAGACGTTCGCGGCGCGGACGACGAAACCCCGCGCGACCACGGTGACGGCGACACGCGTGTCGAGACTGCTGCCACGCATACCGTCGTGGACGATGACGATGAGTCGCCACCCTCGCCGCGAGCTGCTAGTAAGTGCAACTTGTCCGTTGTAAGGGCGCGGCTGTGCGCCGCCCTAGTATACGGTTACGCTTATCACGCGGTGAGCAATCTGTTCGTGACGTTGGCGAACTACATCTCCAACTCGTTCGCCGCTCACGTTTTCGGTCTGCGCAGAAAGTGAGAATCGTGTCCCCGCGGTCTCGGCGTCCCGATCCTCCGACCGCCGGTCCGGAGACTCGATCTTCGGCCGACCGAAGATCACAGGGGACCGAAACGAAGACGAAGTCGCGACGAAACGCCCTGCGATAAGATTGCGCTAGTTGCTATGCGTGCCGCAGTACCAAGTATTTTACACCTTTTTCAGGGACAATTCAAGATATCTCTATCAATTGTTTCGCTGAAATCGCCTCTAGCATTAGCGAGTCCTTGTCCAGCAAAGACGACAATATTACTCGTTAACGATATCGCTTTTTTTTCGAGAGTACGAAAAAGCGAGTCTTTGTAGGGTACGCAGCTATTTGGCAGACGCGTGTTACAACATAGTCCTTCGTTTCCTACGCAAACGCGTCGCACGAGTGTAAAATTGAAGTGCACAGTGCACTCGATGCGATTTACATCACTAAAGGTAGAGTGCATTCTGTAATGACCCGCTTTTCGTACTTACGATTCGCAAGAAGAGGGGCTTATCCTCCTCATTCTGTTCACCTTGGTAACAGAAATACGGCGAACACTCTTATACCGTCGATTAGCTGCTGCATCCGTGATCACGGATAAACAGAGCCCGCGATCGGGCAAAGGTGTGCTATCGGCCTGCCGGTAAAATGTCACGCGCGTAGATTACAGTTTCTCCTTTTTTTTATACAGATATGCTATCATTATTTAATGGCCTATGTCGCCGCGTCAAGCATGTAGTCTACATCTTTAACAATATTGCGCTGGAATGATAGTTTTTCTTGCAGAACTTTATCAAAGTCAGTTTCACTCTACCAAAAGTGACAAACGTTTGATTATTGCGATTCGATTGTTGCGCCTAATGACAGGGTTGAGAAGTAACTCGTTACTTGTAACGAAGTTACAGTTACTTCTTTTTGCTAACTCTAACTTAACTTCGTTACTTTCTCTACATCTGTAACTGTAACTTAACTCAGTTACATTAATAGTTGCTTATATATATATATATATATATATATATATATATGTTCAACCACCACAGATCGCATTAGGCCTTGCATTTGCGCATAAACGCCTTTATCCCCTGCCGGAAATAATTCTACAAAATTCTACAAAAAAATTAAATATAACTGCCAAAATCTAAGAAATTCTACGTAAATTTAAAAAGTGTTATAAAAATCAATATAAAAATGCTAGAATTGGAACACTTTTGTTAATTTTTGTAATATTCTACAAGTAAGCAGATGCTTTAATTCTTTAAGATTTCGTTGTTTCTCAAATTTTTTAAACTAGTAAAGTTTTGTACTAATTTTTACAAAATTGTACATTTTCATGAAATACTACTTGCAATAATTTCTTGATTTGAGAACATTGTAATTTGTGATACTATTTTATAGATATTTTTCCAAAGAAATAAATGTTTCAACGAAGATATAAAAATTTCTACAAATTTCTATTTCAAGTCAATTTTTTGTAGTTATTTATAGAAATTTTTTCCGCTAGGGTCGCCGCTTTACAATTCAGATGCAGATTCGGTATTTTTATTTCTATTGCAAGGGAGTAACTGCTAAGTAACGATTCGTTACTTTTCGAGTAACTGTAACTGTAACTAGTTACGCGTTACTTTTCAGAATTGGTTACTTGTAACTGTAACTAGTTACTTTTATAAAGTAACTTTTCCAACCCTGCCTAATGAACAACGAAATTTGTAGGCTCGCAAGTTGACGGACGTATTCGCTGCGCGTGTCAGCGAATATACCGTACGAAAAAACCTGTTTCCCTAATTGACTTTAAAATTGATTCTATTTAACCCGCATCGGCAGCACCGCGAAAAACGGAAATTGATGTCCAATATGGGTAATAAAGAGTAACGTTTGCCATAAATGCGCTTTCTCGATAAGCGGAAATATCGAATGTCAAGTCTCGTTAGCGTAAATGGGCACCGCAAATCTTTATATTATTAGATAAGCAATTCTTTCAATGCTCGTCTTCGAGAAGCGAAGGAAAGGCTCCTGAATATTACGGCATGACGATTATTTACGGTAAAAGATAGTAGATAATACTATTTCGGAGCAATAATTAGTAATCGATGTGGCGTACGTCACTCTAAAAGTTCAGAGATAAATGAAACTTATTTATAGTAAATTGATGAAAAATGACAAAATGACTTTAACAAGTCACGCTATCTCGGGTGTGAAAAGATTAGAAAATTGATGAAATCATTATTCATTTATTTAACAAGAAAAAAGCTTTTAACAAAACCTTTCATTCGACAAGCAAAAATCTTTAACAAATTACCCTGTAATATTAAAATACGGTGTGTGATCTGATTATTGCTCTACACGTTATCTGTGGCGCAAATATAGAAACATGGCAATTACGTCTCAAAAATGTTTGCATTTACTGAGACAAAAATATTTTTACAATGTCTGTTTTTAACGTCTTATTCTGGTTTTCTACTCCACTTTTTGCTCTCTCTCTATTAAATACTCATCGTACTCGAATCATCACGTGCGAAAACGCATCTTTCATGAAAATCGTAAAGCCCGTATCGGACTACGGATGGAGATTGAGATCAGATTGAAATTCGACCAACCGGAGTAAAGTTTACTAATCTCAAGTTTAGTGAATTTGACTCTGATTGCCCAGTGAGAAATGATTCGTCGAAACGACGTCGAATCGACATCAATCGACGAGTTATTTCTCGCCGGGTGGTCAAATCTAAATCCGTAGTCTGATACGGGCTTTATGCTGTTCTGTCAATGACGCGACGATATTTTTACGTGGTAAGGGCGTATTGATATAATTTGATATATACATTTCCTGTCGTAATTACTGTACTCTTTAGGCCTGTTATACAATACGTTGTACATCGCCGTCGAGACGTAGCCAATGGTCCAATGAGAAAATTTCAAAAACTTCAATTATTTTCAAAAAAAAACTCTGGACCATCGACTACGTCCCGACAGCGACAAACGACGTATTGTATAACAGGCCTTAACAAGAATACAGCAATTTTCCATTATCGTTATCGCCGGGGATTTGAGATAATTAACAAGTACCGCCATATGTCCCCGGCTGGCTCGGGAAGCGTGTACCGTTACGGACATTCGAATCGGGCGCGCGAGGCGCCGAGGGCTCGCGCCGCCGCGCGGCGATTGGCCGCGATGGCGCGCCCGCGTCGTCGATTCGTCGCGCGGCGGCCAATAGGGCGGCGTGCCGCCAGTTGTCGCCGATCATGTGGAAGGGGCTTGTGGCCAGTTCGTCACGAGAGTCTCGAGCCTCGTACGGTCGTGAGTGCGCGTCGCTGGGTCTGCCCTGTGTGAATTTTCGTGGTGTATCGTGGTGTTCGCGCGCGCCCGGCATCTTCATCGGACACACCGTCGCTCCCGGTCGCACCGTAATCGCCGGCGCCTCTCGCCGAGATCCGGGGACACGCACGGCGCGGAGACTAGGAACGATCCGCCCGAGGTACGTCGCACGCGGTGCGCGCGCGCCCGCGCCCGCGCTCCGCCGGTTATCGCGCCGGCAAGCCCGGCAACCGTGAATTTGCGTATTTAAATTTGGAGGTGACGACGCCGCCGGCGGATCGACGCCGTGCGGCGGATGACAGGCGCGCGGTCGCCGTCGCCGGCCGGCAACCGGCGACCGGCGGTCGTGGCCGGCGCGGTCTCGGTGCGGCGTGACGCGCAGAAAAAGAATGCGTCCCACGCCGCGCAGGCTCGGTAGTGCCCGCTTATCACGAATAGGCGTGGGGATCGTTTCCGCGTCTACGGTTGGAGAGCCGAGCGGTACACCGGTCCCCAAGTCTTCGGGACCACACGCCAATGTTCCTCGTTCTTTGTTTCTTCTTTTTTCTCCCCCCCCCCCCCTCCGTTCCTCTGCCACTATCTCTTCCTGGAGCTCGTAGACGAGAATGTGCGTCGACGCGATTCGGCGTCCCGGTCTTCCTCTCTCCCTCGTGGTGATCGCAGGAACTAATGCGTCGATATATCGGAATCGAGGCCCGCTCCGCTCCAGATCTTTCTCGACGTTCGACAGGCTTCTTCGACTCCCACCTCTCGTGCGCGAACAAGAAAGAGGAAGCGGCATGGCCCTGCGTGACGCGGAGGGGCGGGGGGAGAAGAGAGGGAAAGACAGTGCCGAGCGTGATGCGAAGCGCGTACGAAAATACCGCGTTGTGAAATCGCCGTATTGTGTATTAGACTGCCGTCATCATCGCCCGGCGCGCCGAGAACGAAGTCGCGTTTCGCAATTTGTCAAATGTGACCCGCGATCGAATTGGATGCAATTCCGACGAGTTGCAATATTTAACGATACAGATACGCGAGAACGGGGCTCACGCCTCTCGCTCCCTCACATTTTTCTCTCGCCCGATAGTCGAACCTGGACAATTCTCCATAGAACCTGTAGACATGGAAGGGGGATAGCATCACCCAAAAAAAAGTATTCTATTTTTTGAGTGGTTCCCTCTTAATTTTAAAGGATTTTCCTATGAAATACGGACAACTTTTTAAAACAATTATGTTCTACTTTTAATTCGTCGTTTCACAGCTTGCGATTAACGTAGAATGGACTTTACAGTTCTATATCCAAAAAGCTATTAGCAAAAACAAACTCGCTCTCAAACGTGGGCCAGCAGTCACTTAAATAGGCTTTCTCCAGAAATTTTTGTACCTCGTTCATGCCGAAGAGTTACTAAACTTTTACCAAATTGACTGCACCACACTACACTGTCGTGTATGTTACACGTGTTTCACAGCTCGGTACAAACAGGGCAACTGACACTGCCCCTGTGTGTCGCGAACAAATGACAACCGTGTAACAAATAACAAGCGCACGTGCTGCGATTCGCGTA